GGTGGTTTGGCTGATGGGGTGGCGGGTGGTTTGGCTGATGGGTTGGCTGATGGGTTGGCTGATGGGTTGGCTGATGGGTTGGCTGATGGGTTGGCTGATGGGTTGGCTGATGGGTTGGCTGATCACTGGTTTAAGGTATCAAATCTAAAAACTTAACATAAACCCTTTAAAATTCACACACACACACAAAACATGGTCTAGGTAGCGTAAGGAAACCTTATCTATAGTTGTAATCTCCCTTGTCTTATAAACTACACTCAGGTGTGTCAGTTAGGCTGTACAGAAACCAGCATGCTAGGCGAATTCTTGAAGCGTGAAAAATATATGGGCCACAATTTCGATTTAAGATATCACTGCTACTGCCACGACACATGACGATAAGAGTTAAGACTATTTGCATTGAGGGTTCAAGGACGTGTCAACTTCATAGAATTATTGATGTGCTTAAACCTTTGGCATTCTGCCTAACCATAGGTCATACTATAAACATAGGTTTTATTGATATGGCTATCGATTTATTGATTGCCCACCAATATACAGAAAGACCTATGGCATTGGGTAGGTTAGTCTCACTTAAAATGAAAGCCTCTAGTTCACATTCTGTTTAGAGAACTGTCGTTTTAGTTCAGAGAGTATTTATTGATTAGATGTATAGGTGTTTGAACACAACGAAACATATAGCACACTAACATCACTGTGCAGGCGGTACAGCACTATCATGATACAGGCGGTACAGCACTAACATGATAGAGGCGTTACAGCACTAACATGATACAGGCGGTACTGCACTAACATGATTCAGGTGGTACAGCACTAACATGATACAAGTGGTACAGCACTAACATGATACAGGCGGTACAGCACTAGCATGATACAAGCGGTACAGCACTATTATGATACAGGCGGTACAGCACTAACATGATACAGGCGGTACAGCACTAACAAGATACAGGCGGTACAGCACTAACATGATTCAGGCGGTACAGCATTAACATGATAAAGGTGGTACAGAACTAACATGATACAGACGGTACAGCACTAACAAGATACAGGCGGTACAGCACTAACATGATACAGGCGGTACAGCCCTAACATGATACAGGCGGTACAGAACTAACATGATAAAGGTGGTACAGAACTAACATGATACAGGCGGTACAGAACTAACATGATATAGGCGGTACAGCACTAACATGATACAGGCGGTACAGCCCTAACATGATAAAGATGGTACAGAACTAACATGATATAGGTGGTACAGAACTAACATGATATAGGCGGTACAGCTTGACCTGAGTGCGGCTCTTTAGCGACCTGAGTCGGCTCTTTAGCGACCTGAGTGCGGCTCTTTAGTGACCTGAGTGCGGCTCTTTAGTGACCTGAGTGCAGCTCTTTAGTAACCTGAGTGCGGCTCTTTAGTGACCTGAGTGCGGCTCTTTAGTGACCTGAGTGCGGCTCTTTAGTGACCTGAGTGCGGCTCTTTAGTGACCTGAGTGCGGCTCTTTAGTGACCAGAGTGCGGCTCTTTAGTGACTTGAGTGTGGCTCTTTAGTGACCTGAGTGCGTCTCGGCAAATCGGCGACAATTCGGTTTTGACTCCCAAAAACATCGTTCTTGTCAGGTTCTTGAAAAAGAAATTTGGCTCTCAAAAAATGTGTAATCGTCCTGCTGCTGATTTTTGGCTCTTTTGACTAATGGGTTGGCTGATGGGTTGGCTGATGGGTTGGCTGATGGGTTGGCTGATGGGTTGGCTGATGGGTTGGCTGATGGGTTGGCTGATGGGTTGGCTGATGGGTTGGCTGATGGGTTGGCTGATGGATTGGCTGATGGGTTGGCTGATGGGTTGGCTGATGGGCTGGCTGATGGGCTGGCTGATGGGTTGGCTGATGGGTTGGCTGATAGGTTGGCTGATCACTAGATTAAGGTATCAAANAGCACTAACATGATTCAGGCGGTACAGCATTAACATGATAAAGGTGGTACAGAACTAACATGATACAGACGGTACAGCACTAACAAGATACAGGCGGTACAGCACTAACATGATTCAGGCGGTACAGCACTAACATGATACAGGCGGTACAGAACTAACATGATAAAGGTGGTACAGAACTAACATGATACAGGCGGTACAGAACTAACATGATATGGGCGGTACAGCACTAACATGATACAGGCGGTACAGCCCTAACATGATAAAGATGGTACAGAACTAACATGATATAGGTGGTACAGAACTAACATGATATAGGCGGTACAGCACTAACATGATACAGGCCGTACAGCACTAACATGATACAGGCGGTACAGAACTAACATGATAGAGGTGGTACAGAACTAACATCATACAGGCGGTACAGAACTAACATGATACAGGTGGTACAGCACTAACATGATACAGGTGGTACAGTGCCTTTATTACAGTACTTAAAACACAGGACCAAAATTACGTTACACCTGGTACAGCACTAACATGCTTAAGTTGATATACACCATTAGTATAATGGACTTAGTACTAACATTACGGTGCATGTGATATAGAAGCAACATGCAGATGTGATCTATATAATTAGTGATACAGCTGGTGCAGCACCTATTCCAGGCTAGACAGCACTATAATTATGATACAGGTGGTGAAGCACTATAATAAATGATACATTTGTTGTAGCACCATCAACGCGTTACTGACGATACAGCAGATAATGATGATAAAGAACCAACATGACGATACACCTGTGTCCAGGTGTAGCATGGACATTAAGCTATTTATCATACCAGTTGTCAGTTCACCAAAAGCTCCTGCCATGTCATATGGCAGCTCCTGTCATGTCATAAGACAGTTCCTGTCATGCCATATGACAGTTTTTAAACATCATGATTTCTATACCCCAGTTCATCATTAGTGTAGAAATAGAAATATTGAATGATATTTTCGTACCATCATTATGTAAGACAAACTTATGCCAAAAACATAACTTTCTGTTAAATGCAATAGTAAATTTATGAGTCAATTTATTTTGGGGGTGGGGGGGGTGTCATGTAGTTCTCAGAAACATGCAGATATAATATATTAACGATTGCTTCTACCGACTACCTTTAGATTTTCTTTATCAGGTAGACACCGTGCTTGTCATCAGAATGTATCGATCTGGTGGTGTACAGGTGAACTGTTTTGTCAATTTTGAAACCAATAAACAACTTTAGGCACCGACCGCTCCGTGAGCTATCATTTTGTGGTTCGTTCCTTAAGAGGAGACATTGCCATTCCCAAAGAAGCATATGTAAGTTTAATGATTTTCGTTTAAAAATCCACAAACATATTGTCATGCAATTCTAATAACGTGATTTAATCTGCTTATAATTGGTGACAGTATCTTGTAAGATAGTATAATCTATCACAGTGTAATGTAGGGTAGTATAATCTATGAAAATATAATCTATGAAAATATAATCTATGACAGTATAACATATGATAGTATAGTTTATGACATTATAATCTATGACAGTATAATCTATGACAGTATAATCTATGACAGTATAATCTATGACAGTATAATGATCTCTAACAGTGAAGTGTTCGTCGAAATGAATACAGTCCTTCACAGAGTGAACTTTATTAGCTGCTTTAGAGAGATGACAGAAGAGCTGTACCTAATTGAGCAATGTGCTGGTCTTACTGTGAATTTTTGCACAATGTGTGGCTGCCAAATTGACAGTGACAATGACAGTGATAGTGTTCACAAATCATAACAGAGACTTTACAGAACCTGAACTGTACACACTAGTAACATTTGAAACATTCTGGAATTCGTAACTATCTAAGAAATGTGTACACTGAACTCAGGGGTTCTTAACCAGGGATTGCCGTACCGATTGGGGTGTGGTAGGCAATGCAAGGTAGGCACATACATTTTTGAAGCAAAAACACACCCAAAATAAGGGGGGGGGGATGGATCTGGGAAAAAAGCAACCCTAAAATGTTTTCTAAAATGAGAGCTGATTATAATTTTCATTACTTAAAAGCTTAAGTAGATCTATGGGCTGTGGTGTAGGAAGAGGGGGCTGAGGGGGGTTGTTCGCCCCGGAAGGCACCTGGCAATACCCCTAGCAACGCCCCTGCTTACAGGCGTTTGATCGTCTTAATTTCGAATCTTGGGGCATCCGTCCGTAGCAATGTGAAAATGGTATAGACTTGTCACAATGTGATGATGGTATAGACTTGTCACATTGTGAAAATGGTATAGACTTGTCACAATGTGAAGATGGTAGAGACTTGTCACAATGTGAAAATGGTATAGACTTGTCACAATGTGAAAATGGTATAGACTTGTCACAATGTGAAAATGGTATAGACTTGTCACAATGTGATGATGGTATAGACTTGTCACAATGTGATGATGGTATAGACTTGTCACAATGTGATGATGGTATAGACTTGTCACAATGTGATGATGGTATAGACTTGTCACAATGTGATGATGGTATAGACTTGTCACAATGTGATGATGGTGTAGATTTCGCGGGACGAAATCACAAGGCCTGGGATTTTTATTTTATTTTAGGAGTATAAGCTGATTCCATCTACTGCAAATCACACCTCTCTATCCACCTCATGGCTGGATGATACAGCTTGGCGCCATTAGCGTCGCAGGAGTTGTCAGAATTTGCATTGTGTCCATGTCATACCGCCTACGGGACTCCAGTCTCCGAGTTTGAATTCAGAGCTTTCCTTCTCGATCAGGGGTGCGGGTGGTGTTTTTGCTTGTCTGTCCCTTTGATGGGGATTGGGCTCCACCACACATTGGGCTCCACCACACATTGGGCTCCACCACACAATGGGCTCCACCACACAATGGGCTCCACCACACAATGGGCTCCACCACACAATGGGCTCCACCACTCAATGGGCTCCACCACACAATGGGCTCCACCACACAATGGGCTCCACCACACATTGGGCTCCACCACACAATGGGCTCCACCACACAATGGGCTCCACCACACAATGGGCTCCACCACACAAGATTGTTAATAAACTCAGTTTACACAACTCTGTCACCCAGTACACATACAAAAATAGTTTAAACAAATTACATGAAAAGATAATTATGAGTTGTTGTTTTTTTAAATTCTACTACCAAATATGACCGATTGAATTTCTCATTATGACATCTATATATTTCCATTTATTTGGATCAATAAAAGAATCTTATCTTATCTTATCTTATCTTATAAAAGCACGTCCATCTGTGTTTCAGTGAACCAGCTCCGCTCCCAAGATGCCCAGACATTCTATGAGTAAATGGGAGGCCGCGTTCAAGGCCGCTGACAGGGACAGAAATGGCACACTGGACAGGAAGGAACTGAGAGCTTTATTTAAACAACACAACTGTAACCTGACGGAATCACAGCTCAATGTAAGTGTGGATGAGCTCATTGGATGCGAGCTAAAATTATATGAGCTACATTTATGTAAGCTAAATGTATGTGAGCTAAATGTATGTGTCAGCTAAATGTATGTTTCAGCTAAATGTATGTGAGCTAAATGAATGTGTCAGCTAAATGTATGTGTCAGCTAAATGTATGTCCGCTAAAAAAAATTTCCAGTCCCCTAAAAAAACACAACAGAAGCATTTTTTTTCTTTCCTAAAAAGTTAGCATACTTTAAAATCTGACCACTGCCCCGGCAATCAAAAGCTGCGCCCTTGGTGGGGGTGCTGAATTTAGGCTCCCGTTCCCCCAAAAAGTATATGAATATCAATGCACATAATTAGCACGAAAAATGACGATCTTGACGCCCTATAAATATGGCGACTGACACCCTCTGCTTATGAAATGGCAGAGGCGTGGCGAGGGAGTTTGGCGCCCGGGGACAAGATCCATGTTAAAGCGCCCCCTTTTCTTTTTTTCAACTCTCAAACCCATTATTTTCATCAACAAAATAGTATCAAAGCACATTTTGGCGCCCCTCACTAGCTGGCGCCCAGGGACTTATGTCCCCCTGCCCCCCTCGCTCCGCCTCTGTAAAATGGCCCTGCATTTTGAAACGGATACGCTACAGATTCACTTAAGACATTTTCATTTCTCGGTGCATTCATCAAGAACCTCCCGATGTTATGTAGTGGGATCATTTGCTGAACCTGTCTGATACATTAAAAAAAAAAAAAGAAAGATCTCTAGTGGATTCGAATGGTCATGCATGTTTAAAGCAAGCGAAACATCTATAAATAAAACATATTGACTATAACTTTTCTTGATTCTGCAGGAACTATTTGTGTATTTCGATGGCCCCCGTGGAGACCAACGGATAACTCTAAGTGAATTTGTTGCTGGCTTGGAAAGGGTTGATACATTGTAAGTGTGTTTAATTTTGTAATGTGTGTGTTGTTTTTTTTTTTAATTTTGTAATGTGTGTGTGTGTGTGTGTGTTCGATTTTGTCATGGGTGTGTGTTTGATTTGATGATAAGTGTGTGTTTAATTCTATAATGTGTGTGTGTGTTAAATTTTGTAATGTACCTGTGTTCAATTTTGAAATGTGTGTGTGTTGGATTTTGTAACGTGAGTGTTCTAATATAAGTTAACCAAGTATTTGAAAACGGTTACCCTCCTTGAGTCAAAGTACAATAAAAAGACGAATCAAGAAACGTTTCAATTTTAATTATTTATATGTTTTGCCCCCCCCCCCCCCAAGAAAAAACAAAACAAAACAACAAATAAATAAATTAAAAAATTGGTTGTCTTAAAGAGTTTTTATATTCCCATTATCTCTCTGAATATGTGTTGACAAATCTTAATTTTTAGCTTAGTTAAAATAATTCCTTTGATTGGAGCAATACACGACATTAGAACTAACAAGTCAATGAATCATGAATATTTTTTTTTAAAATGTAAAAAATAAATAAAATTCTCTTTTCAATTGAAACGGTATCTTCTGGCGACATTTTTTTAACGAAAATTATTGGCTTTTAAAGAATTTCGCAAATAAATTTTGATTTTCATCAAAAGTTTTCCTGATTTGTTCCTCACATAGTTTGTTGATTTTAATTCAGCTAATTGTTTGTTGTTGTTGTTTTTGTGTGTGTGTGTGTGTGTGTGTAAGTGAAAGTGGTCTACTAACGATCGGCAGTTATCATATATCTTATGTTGATGGCGATACCATAATTTATACACCTCATTTTTAAACATTAAGAATGTTTATACTAAACGTTTCCTCTGATTTTGCAGTGTCAAATCAGTCGAGTCACTGTTCAACAAATTTGACGCCGACAGAAGCGGTTACCTGGACAGAAGTGAAATGAAGCGACTCCTGGAGTCGTCAGGCCACAGGTTCACGCAACCGGAAGTCATTGAAATCATGAAACGGTCAGATAAAAACGGAGACGGGAAAATTTCTCTCCAAGAATTATTGGACGCATTTACGTAATTTGGCATGTGACGAGAAGAGCTTTAATAAAAGGGGGTTTTAAAAACAATAAATTGGCTTCAACACTTTTATCTACTGTCATCTTTTTTTCAAATAAACTTTTCATGTCCAAGTTTCAACACTCTAAAAAAGTAAGGTAGAGGAACAGTATTTAACGAAACTTGAGCAAATAAACTTTTCATGTCAAAGTTTCAACACTCTAAAAAAGTAAGGTAGAGGAACAGTATTTAACGAAACTTGAGCAAATAAACTTGTCATGTCAAAGTTTCGACACTCTAAAAAAGTAAGGTAGAGGAACAGTATTTAACGAAACTTGAGCAAATGAGATCTTCATTAGAGATGTGGTGTTGTTTTTTAAAGTCTCTTTAAATTGACGCTGTAAATTTGTTAACTCTTTTTACATTTACTTTTTACAGTTTTAATTCTCTGTTAATTAAGGCTGTACATTTTTTGACTCTACAAATTAAGGCTGTACATTTTTTAACTCTACAAATTAAGGCTGTACTTTTTTAAAAAACTCTTTATACATTAAGGCTGTAAATTTTTTAACTCTCTATAAATTAATGATGTACATTTTTTAACTTCTCCTTTTTTTAAAAGAGGATTGGCAGGCAAATTTCAGTTGATAAATTAATTTGTTGTTAAATTTTGGATGTAGTGAAATGAGTGTGTGTACATCAAGACATACGCTGTACTAGGCCATACTATAACACCTTCCCTCGCACACACAAAAAGAAGAGAATTTACATTTTTCAAAATGGAATTCTTTTCCATTAAAAAACTGCCATCAAAATAAAAACTACAATTTTTCATACTAAATATTTTAAAAAATTACTAAACATCTTACAAGATAAGCAGTAACCAAACAAAAAAAAATATCTGGACGAAGTTTCAGTAAACACATTCTCTTTGCCATTAATATGTTTTATATCCAAGTCATATTCTTGTAGAAATAAATTCCATCTAGGTCGCCTTTGATTTCTTTTTCTCGTTTCAAATGTTGAGGGATTGTGGTACAAAACATGTACTGGATGCAATGAACAACTTACATAAAAATCAAATTGTTGCAAAGCAAGAATTAAACCTTGGCATTCTTTTCTCAAATGTGGACTAATTCTTCTGCTGATGATTAAATTTCTTAGAGAAATAGCAGATAGGGTGATCTACCCTGTGATCATCTTCTTGAAACAAAAAACAAAAAAAACAAAAACAAAAAAACAAAAAAACCAAAAAAAAACCAAAAAACAAGATCACCGGCATCTACAGCTGATTTAAACAGTTTATTAAATTTTGGTGCAACACGATCAGGAGCATTAGCTAGAACAGTTTTTAATGCTATACATTTACAAGATCAGGAGCATTAGCTAGAACAGTTTTTAATGCTATACATTTACAAGATCAGGAGCATTAGCTAGAACAGTTTTTAATGCTTTACATTTACAAGATCAGGAGCATTAGCTAGAACAGTTTTTAATGCTATACATTTACAAGATCAGGAGCATTAGCTAGAACAGTTTTTAATGCTATACATTTACAAGATCAGGAGCATTAGCTAGAACAGTTTTTAATGCTATACATTTACAAGATCAGGAGCATTAGCTAGAACAGTTTTTAATGCTATACATTTACAAGATCAGGAGCATTAGCTAGAACAGTTTTTAATGCTATACATTTACAAGATCAGGAACATTAGCTAGAACAGTTTTTAATGCTATACATGTTGGGACTAAACTTCATGGAGAACCCCAGTTACTAGAGCTTGGTTCAATGATGTCATTGTCAAGCATGTACTTAATTTCAGACCGGATTATTTCAAGTTTTTTTTCCGGATTGACCCTATAGGGGTGTTGCTTGACTGGATCTGCAGTGCAAATGTCAACACCAGACCCATCAATGTTTGTCTTATTCGGTACATTAGGAATATGTCAAATAAAGTCTGTATTTACAATTTTCGTAATGTCATTTTCTGACCATGATAAATTTCATATATTCATTCAAGTTGCTTATTATTTATGATATCATACACATAATCAAACATTTTTAGCGTGTTTTAGTAGCGTCCAGGTATCTTTTAAATGTTTAAGTGGGTCGTGACCCTAATGGCCAAACTCGAGTTCAAAGGGGGTGAATTCAAGTGTTTCTTAAACAGCTTCTCTGGCGTCGAACTTTCACATGTTGATTCCTTCATCCCAGTGTTTCTTTTGTTCTAGGCAGAACGCTCTCATTATTTACTTTAACGTCTGATGGTTTCTCTCAATTGCTCCCTGCGACTCAGGAGATATGCACTCGACAAGCAGTGTTCTATTCCTAGTTGGTTCATCGCTTGTTTGGAAAGTTAGTCCAGCGTTAAAGTTGGTTCATTTGTCAGAATTTCCATACTTCGGAAGACCAAACAATGAATAAAACTTCCTTAAGGCTTTGACGATTTTAGGAGTCTTGATAAATTACGAAGAGGAATAGCTTCTGGAAACCGTGTTGACGCTCTCCCCCCCCCCCACTCTTCTTCCTACGCCAATAATAATAGTATCCCTAGTGCCTAGCACTAGCGTATAACTAGAAGACTAGACCCACCACACATCTAGAACGCTATAAGACTTTATAAAGATTGTTCTGATTCATTCTGATAGTGATTCCCGGACAGATGATTCCATTATGAATGATCAAGAGTTTAGCGACAGGACGACATCAAAGACATCAAACAATTATGGGTGAAGCTAAACCTAAAATTCCCGCTCCGATTTTTGTTTCGCACTGAAGCACACCGTAGTTGCGCGGAAACAAGAATCAACTCTAAATCTCATCACATCATCATAGCATCTGTTTTGTCGTATCATGCCCATTTCTATATAATTTTAAACTTAATATGGACTTTCAGTAATTATAAAACTACAAAAGGTCAAGAAATTTTTAATTAACTAGAAATTTTTCATTATTAGAATCTAGGTTAAGTATATGTGGCATCTTTCTGTCTTCGCGAGACGACGGAGTGGCTATGTAGTCCTACAGTTCGACGAGTGTCTCACTAGGCCAATACTGGAATGACAATCTCGACTGCATTTCTCGCAGGAGAATCTTGATTCCTGGTTAGATTTTGCCTTCCGTATTGTTCTTTTTATTGGAAGGGCTTCGTTTCGCGTATCTTCTGCCCTTTTGACTCCTCCATACACTGCTGTTCGCCAGCTGTAACGTTGTTCAGCAATGATCTCCCATTTGTGTATTTCAATGTTGGCTTCCCTCATGTTCTTTTTGCAACCGTCCATAAATCTCAGGCGTGGCCGTCCAATAAGTCTTGTACCTTCTGCCAACTCTCCAGCAGCAGCATCTTTGGGATACAGGCCATCCTCCATTCTCCTTACGTGGCCTAACCAGCGAAAGCGCCTCTTGCTAAGAGCGGAGAATATGCTAAACATGTGTGCACGTTCCAAGACCTCTGTGCTAGGCACCCTGTCCTGCCATCGAATGCGTAAAATGCGACGCAGGCATCTTTGATGGAGCTGTTGAGTTTTCGCTCATGACTGGTATATGTGGTACACACTTCACTGCCATATTGGAGCGTACTAAGCACACATGCCTGATAGACACTTAGTTGTTTTTTTTATCAGTTAGATTGAGATTATTCCACACCCACTTATTCAGTTTAGCCTTAGTTGGTGCTGCTTTTGCGATCCTGATTTTTATCTTTTCATCAACGGAGAGAGAACTAGAAATATTGGACCCAGGGTATGTGAAATGCTCGACAACCGATAGATTATGGCCCTCAATAGATATGATTGGAGGGGACGGTGCTTCTTTCATGGTGACATGTGTTTTCTGTAGACTCATTGAGTCCAAACTTTTTACAAGCGTGTGATAGACGATTAACTAGCCCTTGAAGACATTCTTCTGTGTGAGATGTTAAGGCGGCATCCTCAGCGAACAGCAGTTCACGAATCTAGTTTAATTAAGTAATTACCAAATTAGAGTGTCGACTACAGAGTACATTAGACAGTTATTTTATTGGCTGAATAGTTCATTTGATTTTAAGAATTCCACATAGTTTGCCGTTCATTTTACAAAGTTCAAAAACACAAACTGTTATCTAAGATTATTGACTCGATAACTTATCTTTAAATAAAATCAGTTTTGTACATTTCAACAAGATAAGAAATGAATGCAAATTATATAACGTATTAACATGAATTAAATCGCTGTAGATTTATTTATCTTTTTACAGCCATATGATTTAGCCTTAGTTGACGTGGTAGGGTGGCAGTTAGGCTGCGTGGAATACTAAAAATCTTTGAAAACAAACATTTACACACGTCCGTGTTCTAGAGAGCTGACATTTTTAGCACACTTTCTTCTTCTTCTTCTATTAAGGGCCCACGATCAATTTATTGATCATTTTGGCTCCTATGCATCTAGAGGGGATTTGCAATGTTTCTGTGCCTGGTGCTGATGAGCATATTTCAATGATTACAAGTGCTACTTTGTGAAGGAATCATGCAATGGGGGTTTGGAAGGCTTGAGGCAATAGACGCAAATGTGTCTTAGTGTTGTCACCTCAACTGTTTCTTTTGAAAGCTTGTTCCAGTGCCTGATTATCTTGGGCATGAGTGCATACTCATGGTTATTTGAATGAAAATTAAGCAACATAAATTGTAATAAATTGAACGATTTATTATTTCATTGAATTGAAAACAAAAAGATGTGTGTCTACCCAACTTGAATGGGGTTTTTGTGTGTGTTTTTTTTAAATTATGTTTTAACATCTGCACTGATTTTTTCCCATAATAAATTCTAATTTGATCCTATAAATTTAAGTTTTAAATATTCAATCCATTTTTTCAATACTCTCCTTTCTTTAACTTATTTCAATACTATCACAGGAATTTGGGGTCTTTAAAGGGCCTTCATCAGTAAATATAGGATGCAATCAGTGCTGGAGAAATTGTAGGTCCTAGATCAATTGCTTTCAGCTTCAGGGAATTTCAAAACACCAAACTCTGAGCAGACAAGGACCAGCCAGAACTGACCAACTGAAAGAAACGTTTGAGAATGCCGAAAACGAGCCTGAAGGAATGGGAGGCGCTCTTTAGAGCTGCCGACAAGGACAAGAGCGGCGCCCTGGACTTGAATGAGCTGAAAGCAATGCTGCGTAGTGCCAACAGCAGGATCACAGACTCACAGATAGCGGTTGGTTATTTCATGATAGCGTCTAGTCTCAGTGGGACCTTTACAAGATACAATAGCGTCTAGTCTCAGTGGGACCTTTTGCAACATACAATAGCGTCTAGTCTCAGTGGGACCTTTACTATATACAATAGCGTCTAGTCTCAGTGGGACCTTTTACAACATACAATAGCGTCTAGTCTCAGTGGGACCTTTACAAGATACAATAGCGTCTAGTCTCAGTGGAACCTTTTGCAACATACAATAGCGTCTAGTCTCAGTGGGACCTTTACAATATACAATAGCGTCTAGTCTCAGTGGGACCTTTACTATATACAATAGCGTCTAGTCTCAGTGGGACCTTTACTATATACAATAGCGTCTAGTCTCAGTGGGACCTTTACAATATACAATAGCGTCTAGTCTCAGTGGGACCTTTACAATATACAATAGCGTCTAGTCTCAGTGGGAGCTTTTTATCAGCAGAATATAATATGAGCGACTGTGTTAAAGCAGTTCAGAGTAAATAAACAGTGTAAAAGAGACAGGGCAATAATAAGGACGTTTCGGCTAGACGCCTTCTTCAGCAGACAAGTCAGAACAAGAAACAACACATGAATATACATTTAAAACTTAAGATTCTAATCAAATACAGTTCTCAAAGTCTTTCTTTGGTTTTCTAAAGGGAGACTTTGTGAAATACATTTTTATCGGAGTCTTCGAACTTGTAAGTTTTAAAATGTGTTGTTTCTTGTTTTGTATTGTCTGTTGAAGAATGCATCTAGCCGAAACGTCCTAGTAAGTGTTTTTTTATATATTTTTTATTTCGAGGCTAAACATATCTTGTTCCAGTATTTATGTATCAGCAGAACCCCAAACACAACAAGAAAACAGACATAATGCAAATGTTAAACTTTTCTTCCAGGATACATTTGTGTATTTTGAGGGAAACAATGGAGATAAAAGGGTTACTCTCGCTGAATTTATCAAAGGCATGAAAAAATTGGAAGAATTGTAAGTTTTCTGTGTAGAATAGAACGATAAAATGAAAAAAATTGGAAAAATTGTAAGTATTCTGTGTAGAGTAGATCGATATAATGAAAAATTTGGAAGAATTGTAAGTATTCCATGTAGAATAGATCGATATCATGAACAAATTGGAAGAATTGTAAGTATTCTGTGTAGAATAGATCGATAAAAAGAAAAATATTGGAAGAATTGTAAGTATTCCGTGTAGAATAGATCGATATCATGAAAAAAAATGGAAGAATTGTAAGTATTCTGTGTAGAATATAATCGATATCATGAAAAAATTGGAAGAATTGTAAGTATTCTGTGTAGAATAGATCGATGTCATGAAAAAGTTGGAAGAATTGTAAGTATTCAGGGAAGAATAGATCGATGTCATGAAAAAGTTGGAAGAATTGTAAGTATTCAGGGAAGAATAGATCGATATCATGGAAATATTGGAAGAAGTAAAGTATTCTGTGAAGAAAAGATCAATAACATTATGACAATTTGAATATATCCCGGAAAAAGAAAGTGGGTGTTGTAATATTTAGATATGTGGTCAATATCTCGCTAGAGTTTGTTCATGGGCCATGTACACTTGTTTGGTTTGTTATGTTTTCTCACAAACAAGCACACTTACTCCCACCCACACAAAAACACTCACTTCCTTCCCTGACCAATAATTCTCCTTTGTTTCAGTCTCAATAAACTGACGGCCCTGTTCCATAAATTCGATAAGGATAGCAGTGGATTCCTAGAAAAAAATGAATTTAAAAAAGTCCTCGAAGCTTGTGGATCAAAACTTACTGAGGCTGAACTTGCTGAGATCCTTCGCAAAACAGATACAAGCCGAGATGGCAAGATATCTTTAGAAGAGTTCCTAAGTGCCATGATGTAGCAGAATCAAATCCATTTGCATAATCCTTCTATCATTTTAAACCTGAACAGCTAAAGTTGTATTTTGAACAACTTTTATCATTACAAACCTTAACAGTTAAAGTTGTATTTTGTACAACTTTTATCATTACGCACCTTAACAGTTAAGTTGTATTTTGTACAAAGTATCTACTTTACAGTGTCCAGCAGAAAATGTGCCGACATTAATGTCAGTTGCATTAGCTCAATTGTTAATATAATTGAAATATTTAAAATCTGTTTAAGGTTTGAGTTATTTCTAATAAAAAATTCTAAAAATTTAGGTATGAAATTAAAAACTTCAAAAGTGATGGTAAAAAAAAAAAAGAACTGAGAAGATAGTACAATAATATTTGAAATAATTTATTTTTCAAAATTTAGCCATCTTTTTCATATTAAAAAAACTCAAGGACATAGTAGGGTCTAGCCTGGACACACATTTTGTAGTAAACATTTTTTTTTAATCTCTGTATGTTAACACAATATTATACATATCATTCAAATAAAATCTAAAAAAAGGACATTTTAAAAAAAAATTATGTTATTATAAATTGAAAAAATGTGTTATTTTTATTTCCTACAGCTTACAATATTATTTTAAATTTAAAGCTGTATATTATTTTCATGCTGTCTCTTTCAGGAAGTTTTTGTATACAAAAAAATTAATGCAAACATATCTCTCTTTGAAACTGATTTTTTAACTGACAGGGCGCAATTAAAGAAATTCAGAGGACTAAAGCTATTGGAAAAAAATTCCATAGGATTCAATGAAAGTTGACAGTAGTGAGAAGAAATGCTAAAAACATTTAAATCATCAAAATTTTATCATATAATGTATGGCTATATCACTTGATAAAAACTTCACGTCTCAACTATAAAACTTTTAACAACACATTTAACATATTTCGTTTGAAATCCCTAACATCACATACACTGATGGCATTGGAGTAAAACACAAACACACTTCATTCAATTCATTAAATACTAAGAAATAACATGTTAATCATTTAAAAATAAGAGATACAAATGTTCTGAATTTAATTCAATATAACTCAAATTATCATCATCATGTTGTGCAAGTAATACACTGATGTTCTTGTTTGAAAATTGAATATCATGTACTGCAAACTAAACTAAATCATGCAAATAATAGCTCTTGCATTATCATAAAATTAATTAAATATTATACTCCTGATGACAGTGCTTCAGATTTAGTAAAAATAAAATAGAGTAGATACTCGAGGGCTGAAAGTCTGTTTTTATCTCACACAAGAGATGGGGATCATATCTGAAAGATGGTTTCAAATTAGTATTTCCGCCCCTCATGATTGGTCAAAGCTAAAATTTCTGAATAATTAAAATATAAAAAATTCGAAAAAAATTTTTTCAGACAGAACTCAAATATTTGATGTTGGAAAAAAATGTGCGATCACAAATAATTTTTTTTAAATTTCTGATATAGGTCATTTATATACTGCCACATTTGGAATTATAATAGCAAATAATTTCTTTCTGTATAGATTTTGAAAGCCCTTTCTTTTTACGTTTTTTTTTTCTTCTTCAAAATAAATTAAAATTTGTAAAAAATTAAATCATTGTTATTGAGTGTTTTTGAGGATATTCTTTCTTCATATCTATGGATTCCAGTTCTATTAAATTATTTTAACTGTGCGTGGCTTCTGTGGGCTGTTCTCTGACCATCGACAGAATCTTTTCTAATTTTTCTATTTCTCTTTGAATCTTTGTTGCCTCATCTGGTGGGGGTGCTCCCTTTTTCTCCTGAAAGAATAATTAAATATGGAATAAACAATAACAAGAGTAAACTGTCCAATAAAAAACTTGGAATACAGGATGACAAAAGTAATCTGTTAAATCATAAAATATGGTTACTGTTAACTCAACTTGAAGAATTTTATAAGGGGAGACTATCATTACACGTTTTATGCCACTCCTAATCAGTGTTGCACTTCTATAATTCCTAAATGTTTCCAAAATGCAAAATGTTGACAGTTTTTATTATTTTTGTAGCAATGTTTTGAGTAATTCAAGGATATATAAGTTAAAAAAAGAAATACAAAGAAATGGAAAAAATGACATATTATTATATAATAAAAGAATAGAATCATTAAAAAGCAATTCTGTTATTGGATATAAAAAAAAATTTCATTTAAGGATGAGTTTAAATGCACTAAAAATAGAAAAATTATTTAATTGTAGAAGAAATGTGTTATAATTATTTTTAAAATTTTGAAAATATTTTCTGCTCAGACTTTCTTTGTGTAAAGCATTATCAGAAATTGCTACAAACTTTACCAATTGTGAGTAGAAAAAAAGTCTCTTAAAATCAATTCAGAACCAAATATTAAAGGGAGACAGCTTTCACTCTTCATTGTATACGATAATAAAAGCTAAACATGTCAGACTAATAATTCCTACCAAATGAATTCTGTCTATGGGGATATCCTTTAAAATTGAGTTAACTAACATAAAAGGTTTTTAATTTCTTACAGCTTTCATCTTTCTTAGATTTGGTGATAATTTCAAGCTGATAACTGAACCCCTGTCATCCCCAACAATCAACATGGGATAGGTTGGGTTGAAGTCCACATGAGTCAGCTTAGTTTTCTTCTTCTGAGCCACCATCTGCTCACAGAGAGGCTCATATTTGTTCACATTTAAATCATACACAAAGGCCTGCAAAAAAAGTCAGGGGAATGGATGTTAGATGATTTTGGATGACTTTTCACTTCATACGTTGTCATTTGAGGAAAACTGCAGAAAATTTTAAGATTTGGCTTTGTGTGTAATAAATGTTGGCTAATTTTCTTGATGTACATTTGCAATCAACATGGTTTCTTAGAAGTAAAAGGGCTTAAGATTATGAAAGGATTGGGGAGTGGTTCAATTGCTTTTATTTTGAACACTGCATGGAATAAAATTTAAATTTGAACATCAACCCTTTCCATCTAATGCAAACTAGCCAATTTATTTTAATAGGTTATTAATAGTTATTACATAATTTTAAATGTTAAGAACTCAAAAATCTTCAATGATTTTCCTTACTCTGAGAAATGTGGCTATGGTCGGGATTTTAAATTAATTTAAGCTTTAACAAATTTCCTTCTTAATACTTCACAAAACCTGATAAAAGTGATCATCTGAGATAACCTAAATATCATGAATCTAACAGACCTTGCCATCTGACGTGACAGCTGCAAAAACTGTTGACGAATATGGCGCCCATGCTACATCACCAACGCAGTTGTTCAAGTCAAAGGAGAATAACGGTTTTCTAATTGGAGAAGAAAAAACAAGTGATATTATTAATCATCCTTATATTCACAATCTGATGTTTCTTTTTTTTTTTACCTAAAATTTTAAAACGTTATTGAATTAAACAAATTTCAGTTTGGCCATTTAAATGACCTAAAACCGTTTTTAACAATATTAAAATTAAGAACTACTGATGAATTAAGAATGCAAGATTATAATGTTTTAATAAGCTATTACAGAGATATTAACAGCCCAGTATCTCTAACTAAATATTTATATAAATGTTTCGAACCTGCTTTCATTTTCATTTTTTTTCTCCAATGTGTCTCTCATCTCCCATATTTTTACTGTCCAGTCAGCACTGCAGGTTATGAAAATCCTTGGATGGAAGCGATTCCAGCACACCTAGTCATAATTCAAGTATTGTATTTAATAAAAATAAGAATTGAAATATTTAAAAATACCCAAGGAAGAGCTTAATTTAATTAAAGTATGAAGTGGTCCATTGGAGATATCTTCCTGCTAGGTCAGCCACTGCCAGCAACTTAACCTAACTGAATTTTCTGATGGGGGCCATCTCATCTTAAGGATATCTGGTTGGTTGGTGATGTTACTCCCCCAAAACCAGCAATCAACTTTCCCAGGGGTCGGGATGGTATATTAATCATTATGTATGTATTTATGTATTATGTATGTATGGGGAAGAGTCGGACACCCTTTAATAGAGATTTCTACAGCGGATTTTTACTCTGCAAATAGTTCATGTAGTAGCAATTGGGTTGAAGGGGTGGCCTAGAAACAGCCACCTAAATGGCTGTGTATCTAGACCCATTGGCATGAGGTCGCCACTACCCACCTCATGTCTCATATCCATCAGTGGCAATATAGTAATCATGATCCCCACCCTGTTTCTGTAAATTTTTTTCAACTGCGGATATGTCCCAGCTGTAGTAGCACAGTAGTGGCTACCATTTTCGGTAGATACCATGCAAGCCCTTTGTCTGCCCCTGCAGGTTCACCCAATGGAGGTTTTGTTCCTCGGGTAGCATTAGGGGATCGGTGGCAGCACCTCTTTAGTGGCAATGCCACTACAGACATGTCAACCAGGGTGGGGGGAGAGAGACTTCTAATAAAAAGAATCTATTATGCATTCCAACAATTTATATTTATTGACCTTAACAAAATTGAAGCATTTGAAACAGAAATCTATTTAATTGAAATGGAGTAGTTATGAAAATAAGTATGTTGTTTGCCAGATGTTTTAAGGTACCTTATACACGGCCATATTGTGAGCATTGATTGTGTCAATAAAATGGCTGGTGTATGCCTTTGAACAGATGTGAACTTTTCCCTCTTCAGTACCAACTAGGAACAAATAATCTTTCTGCTGGTGGAAGTCGAAAGCTGTGCCACTTCCTGCAGTTCAAATGACAGAAGTAAATTTTTGAATTAAAATCATATGAGTAAATGTTTTAAAGAAATTGTGTTTAAAATAATAATATATAAGGCATTAAATGTAACATTTTAAACTAAAAAGCTGATGACAAAATAAATAAAAATTTAAAAGTAATATCTTCACATGAAATACTGTAAACAATTAGAAACATCTAATCGTTATTTACTCATAGCTAGATTATGTAAATCTTCTTCTGTATATGGACAATGGAAATGTGGAATAGAATTATCTTGAGCTTCATGAAGATTCAGTTTGGGTCTTAAAATTAAGATACATTACCAGTTGTTGGAACTTTAATGCCATCTGGTCCCTCAGCTGGAACATCGGGCAGTAAAAGTCTTATCACATCTTGGAAAATCATTTCATTCTGTTGGTGAAATGTGTGTTGTCAAACATACACCGGCTAATAAGATCCAAATACTTTACTTTCTTTAAGAATTTAAAATTATTGTTCTCTTCAGATTAGTAACTTCCAGAAAAGGAGCTTGACTAAATTAGTTATGTTTGGTAGGGTTCTGAAATTGTTTCTATTTGTACCACTTAAATAATATGCAAAAAATGTATGCATCACCTTGAGCATATATTTTAATTCAAGTTGGATATCTGTATTTTTAGTTTTTTGTTGTTAAATCTCTGTATAAAACATGCACCAATTTTAAAAAATTGCTGATTAAGTTTACAGGAATATGGTAAAGAATTGGAGTTGAAAGGAATTTCATTACTTTGAGGATTGTCCACAAACAAATTCTCCCATCTGAAGATATAGAGTAGAAGTTCATATTGTTGTCTGCATCATCTTTTTGCCAGCGGACCTGATTGATGAATGATAAATAGAGTTCGTTTTTTTTTTTACAGAGATATAAGCATTAATTATAATTAGGGTATAAGAACAAAGATTTAGTCACAAAGAACTTTTAAAGGTATTTTTTTTTCTTCCAACTTATTTTTAGATAGGGTATTAAGTTTTAGTGAAACAGATCACAATGGCTCATAAACTGGTAACTTTATCAAGAAAGTTTTTGATTTAGGATTGAGCTCAACAAAAACATTTTTACCCAGTAAGAAATAGTTTATTTATATTTGCATATTGCGAACTGCAATTATTCAATTTGTTTTCAATATCTTTCCCATAGGGACTTTAAAACTATATCTTTTAACTGTTCTTTTAGCAACTTACCTGCCATACAGGATCTGTGTGCTTGCCATTTTTAGCAGTACATCTGTAAATTGGACCCTCTTTCCTTTCAACAGCACTGAAGACTGCTACACTTCCATCATAGAATCCAGCACAAATTAAATGGGGATGTTGAGGATGAATGTCAAGGCACATAACTCCACTATCAGTTTCAAAATAGCACTCTGGAAATGATGGGTTCTTCAAAGTCCAGAAAATTATCAGTCCACTTCCTTGCTTCATGAAATCATCTGGTGGAGAAAAAAACATGAGATTTTTTATAAAACTATTTTTTTAAAGAAATTTTCAGCAAGATAAAAAAGTCCTTTTTCTTTTTTTTTTAAATGTCGCCAAATGAAATTAATTCATGCTAAAATTATTTAGCAACAATTTTTTTCTTTTATTCAATGTTAACATGTGACCTTATGAACAAAAAATCACTAATCAAATGATTATCATTGGACTATATGAACCTGTGACCTTATGAACGAAGAATCCGTAATAATGTGACTATCAGATTTACTAACATGATCCACAAGAAACGGCGTAGAGATCCCTGTACATTGGGCTCCAGCAAACAGATGTGATTGCCAGCTTCTTGGCTTTCTCAAAGGTAAATTTCCACAAGGGAAGCAGAGTGCCTTCTTGGTCACGGTATTCATCTGACACATCCTCCCAGTATTTAAAGTCTAGTTTACATGGAACAAAAGTCAAAGTTGTGATTTAACCAACAGGTTCGCTGTTGTTCATGCAATAATGAATTCAAGATCATACATAGAATACTTAAGTTAATAGTTCTTAATTATCCATTGAATGGTAAGGAAAATAAATTGCAAATATTTTTTTTTCTTCCCTATATCTCAAAAGGTGTGTAAACAGTTAAGTACAAAGTAAGTCCGTTGTGCAAATTTCTTTGTTATTTAGAATTTCTATGTTGCTCACCTTGGGCAATATCGTCATAAGTATTTTGATTAACCATACGCTCAACAATTTTGGCAGCTGTCTCGACACGGCTGATGTCATCACTCTAATAAAATTGAAATCATTTCATAAAATAAATCATGGAGAATCTGGATTCATTCATACAATGACAACCTTATCAGGGGTCCTGAACACATACAAAATCAACACCTTATTGGAATGTAAAGATTTAAAGTTAAAATCAGTAAATTATATTCACTCATTATTATAGTAAAATAATTTACACATATTCTAAAGAGGAAAATTTACAAATCCCAGCCAGAAATGTTTGTCCTCATGCATTGCTCAACAGGCTAATACCCTTCCTTACCACCACCACCAATTTATTACATTAAAATACCCGCCAGTCTTAAATAATTCCTAGTCCCATCTCAAGGCACTCTTTACATTTAATCATAACATTAGGCTGGAAGTATGAAAGTAAATAAATGACAAATTTCGATGATCATACCGATGACTCTGACATGGTAAATTTTTTCTTGGTCTTGCCCTCTTCTTTTCTCCCTGGCACCTTCTTCTCTTTTGTTTTCTCCTATAAAAAATATCATGCATTAATAAATATTTTGAAAGTCCTTTCAAAATTTTGAAATAAATCATTCCTGTCTTATTGGGTCTAAATTATGTTCTTGATAAAATATAACAAACTGTTAGAGAAAAAAAAAACCCATCGAAACTAGAGGAAACTTTATATATTAACTATAGCTAATTAAATTTGTATTTTAAGGAATATTGCAAGGATCAAAAACTATTTCAAAAGACCAACTATTTATATTTACCTGTTTTTCAAAATCTTCCTGGTAAGCATCATAGATCTCCCACTGGGTGACATTTGAAGAAAATGATGCACGTGGAGGGGGCTCAGTCACTGTTCCACGGTCCTAAACACACAAGAGGACTATAGAGGACTATTTTAGCTCAGGTTAACATTCAGTCGGGTGAATATTTAGATTGTCTATCAGGTAAGTGTTCGATTAGGTTATATTTAACTAAAAATAAATGCATGTTTTATTACAGCCATGAATAATATCTTTTGCTCTGTTACATTCTGAAGATGGCTGAAACTTGCTAGACAATACAGTGATGAGCACCAGAAAATATGGCTAACTGACTCATCTCTATAGATGATGATACACAGAATGTTCATAAAGTAGAAGTCATTTCTTTGTGCATATTTTGCCATGACAATTATAAAATGTTCTTTTTAAAAATACAAAACAACAAAAAAAAAAAAATGAAACAAGAGCCATTTATACCCTGAAGGGATTGCTGTACATCTGTGATGCTCTTACCCTGAAGGGATTGTTGTACGTCTGTGACGCTCTTACCCTGAAGGAACTGTTGTTTGTTTTTGATTCACTTACCCTGAAGGGATTGTTGTATGTCTGTGATGCACGTTCACTGTAGTTAAACTGGTTGGTGAGCTTTTTTTCAGATTTAGCCTTTGCCCCCTTGGAGGCTGTAGCTGCACCTTCTTCACCACCATCATCCTTGACCTCCCCCTCTGCTCCACCCTCCTCTGTCACTTCTTCAACAGCTGCAGTACTGGCAGCAGCAGCCTCTGGTTCACCAGACTCTGTTGGCTCTATTTGTGGGACAAAATGTTTCCATAATTTCTTGAGATTTACTTTTAGCTATGTTATTGCTTACCATTTCAAAATCATATTTAATCCAGCTAATACATTACTTTTTGATCCACTGAGTAGGCCTACCTTGTTAATGTTAGGCCTTTTCATCCTGTGCCTTCACTTTGATATTATATACTAGTTATAACTTGCCAAACATTGGTGACAGCAATGCAAGAACTTCCCATCTGCTAAAGTCACTTGACAAAACACGAACTCAAGTAACGCACATTTAAGAATCCCAATTTTTGCTAAACCCTTCCCCCCATGATACACCACTGCACACTTTTTATTTCACGCACATGAACTATATTAATATTCTGATGTCCCAACCACTTTTAAACCGAATATATATTACACCATATTTAAATTGAGATGATTTTCTTTTCCAAAAAAAAAAAGGAAATAGTATGCACCAAACACAGTTGCGTTTTTTAAAAAGAAATCATTTAGCATAATTATTGGAAATTATATTTTGAGTGTTATTGAAATGACTATTGAACCATACTTTCTTTCAAATATAAAAAAATTATATGTAAAAGTAATATGAAACATGTTCTGTAGGGGGGGGGATGGTTAGGAATAGGAAGCAGCTGGAAATAAGAGATAATTCCAGTGGCTAAACACAATTCTTGTTTGGTGCGACACAAGTCTTAACTTTCACTCCTGCACTGTTGCAACAGTTTGAATGCTTAGGCAGACATTTGAGGCAGACATTTTACCTTCTTTGACCACAGACTGCCTTTCTGTTCTGTTCATTTGTCTTCTTGCTTCTTCAGAATCTTTGTGCAGCAAGTTTCCATCCATCGAGAAGTGGACAGCTAACTGGTCAACACTTGAAGTCTGCTTGAACTGACGCTCCTTTCAGATCAAACAGTAGAGTGTTACATAAAATGGAAGAGTTCAATATAATTTTTGTTAAAGTTTAAGCTGTAAAACAAAACCAGACAATGCTTAGATGGTTAAATTTAAATATCATAAAAATAACATTTAGTACAAATGTTTTGTTAATTTTTATCCTTTCTTTTTCTTTTCAATATAACAAATTTTCATTAACAAGATATGACATATATCTATAAATTTTAGAAGAAAAATAATTCTCACTAATTGAAAATTTTATTACTTCAAAAGAGTATTCTACATTGGAAAATTTGATAATGAAATTGTTTGTTTACCTTGAAGCTGTAGCGGACAATGTTCTGCGGGGCATGAGGATTGTTGGCAGTCAAAATTCTTGTAAATTCTTCTTTCAGTTCCTAATAAGGCATAAATTTGAATTGAGTATTGATGTCAGAAAATGATTTATCTATTTAAAACTTATATACTTTGTGCAACAACCAATTAGAGAAGTTATCAAAACTTGTCTCACATTACAACATTTTTTTAAAAGTTACCATTACATTCAACCAACATAAGGTACTTACAGCCTCTGTTAATTCCAACTGGTCATCGGGCTTCACCAAAGCCTTTGCCTAAAAAAGCAATTAAGAGTCTTACAGGGTAAAAAGCAATAAATTAAGATTATTTTACTATACATTGAGTCTACTACAATTTTGATGATGAATAATGAAAAGTCATAAAGTGAAGTGCTTGTTGGTCTCTGAACATTTTCATAGTATAAAGCAGACCTTCCCAGGAGTGAATAATATACAAGTTTAGGATAAGGTGATAGTAATAATAAAAAAATAAACTACATGAAACCAAATGCTAAAATTACCTGCATCCAATCATCTTGCTCCGCTGCTTCAGCGGTGTCGGTCAAGTCATCTTGATCCTGGTTAAAAAACAAACATAATCATTTGCTGGAACTATTACATCACTACAAACATATTCACTAGCTGGGACTAACACATTACTTTCCTCATACTCTTAGTAACCAATAGTAACCAATAACAAAAACGGCTGCTGGCTAACTGAATAGGATACACTTCATTTCTATCAGATATGAATTACTGCTTTTTTTATGTTATTTAACAAAGAAAGTCCGTGATGGATACAGATTTAAAGAGGAATTAATCGTTTAAAGTAGTCTTAGGGCATTATTTATTTTTCAAAATATCCTTTGTATACCCTTTCCATACCACTTGCTGGTCAGTGAATGAACTATTATTAATCAACTTCAAGTTTTATGACAATCAATGGAACAGGAAGGGTTGTGTGAGGTGAATGTCCACCCTGAAGTGGCAGTCTTCTTTCCTTCATATTGAGGGGAGGCATTTTTGGACAGCCAAAAAGGTTTTTTCTTGAGGGCCAAGAAAATCTATCCCCCACCCCGGATGGCACTAACTCATGCTAGGCCACTGGATACAGCGTAATATGCCTGGTAAGGTGATAAGATTTTAAAATGCTTGAAAATTGGTGGGAAGGTTTCAGTTAATTCAGTTTCAGTTTGTGGTCATCGCAAACATTTAAAAAATCTAGACCTATGAATAAATTATATTTTATTAGTCACAGCTTGCTGCATTTAATAGCGTATAATGGCTTGTAATTTTAAAGTACATTTACTGATATACTTACCCTCCTGGAACGCTTTCTTTCTATTGCAACAGAATTCTGAAATTAACATGACCAAATAATTTAAAATATTAATGCTAAGTGTGGCATTGTATGTTTCAAAGCACAAACACAGGAGAAATTTCCCAATTAAATAGCACATACTGACAAAACTGCCAAAAGACACTGAGCAAATACTAGGTGACTACCAATGCAGATTCAGACAAAACAAATCAAAGACTCATCAGATTTTCACCATCAAAAGCCTATTATAGAAATGTTATGAATGTAATAACTCAGTATATCAACTCTATGTGGACAATAAAATGGTGTATGACAGCATCAAAATTAAAACCCATATGAGACTCTGCAGGATTTCTGCATACCCAACATACAGACCAGACTGATACATGTAACATTAAACAACTAAATAATCAAAATCAAGGTTCAGGGTGAATATTAAAGGGAATTTCAGATTAGACAGGGAGACTCACTGTCTTGTATGCTATTTAACCTAACATTATATAGAGTTATAAGAAACATACATATTGACACCTGAGGAACAATAACAGGATACTTTCTTAGGGGAACCCAAGACCCACAACCAATGGGCACTCTCTACACCCAATGGGCACTCTCTACACCCAATGGGCACTCTCTACAACCAATGGGCACTCTCTACACCCAATGGGCACTCTCTACAACCAATGGGCACTCTCTACACCCAATGGGCACTCTCTACAACCAATGGTTACAACCAATGGGCACTCTCTACAACCAAAAGGCACTCTCCACACCCAATGGGCACTCTCTACAACCAATAGGCACTCTCTACACCCAATGAGCACTCTCTACAACCAATGGGCACTCTCTACAACCAATAGGCACTCTCCACACCCAATGGGCACTCTCTACAACCAATAGGCACTCTCTACACCCAATGGGCACTCTCTACACCCAATGGGCACTCTCTACAACCAATAGGCACTCTCCACACCCAATGGGCACTCTCTACAACCAATAGGCACTCTCCACACCCAATGGGCACTCTCTACAACCAATAGGCACTCTCTACACCCAATGGGCACTCTCTACAACCAATGGGCACTCTCTACAACCAATAGGCACTCTCTACACCCAATGGGCACTCTCTACAACCAATGGGCACTCTCTACAACCAATAGGCACTCTCTACACCCAATGGGCACTCTCTACACCCAATGGGCACTCTCTACAACCAATAGGCACTCTCTACACCCAATGGGCACTCTCTACACCCAATTGGCACTCTCTACAACCAATGGGCACTCTCTACAACCAATGGGCACTCTCTACACCCAACCTCTTCAGTATCTTGCATATGCTGATGACATAGCACTGTTAGGGAAAATGTAATAAAGACATATAAAAAACCAGCAATAGAATTAGAAGACGCATCTCTGCAAGCAGGGCTGGAAGGTAACAAACAACCAAATAACCAAATACTTGACTATGATAAGAAAAGAACAGACAGATAAAACCATTAAAATTAGAAACCGCGCTTCTTAAAAAGTAAATTAATTCAAATATGTATTGAAATGAAAGAAATGAACTACTAATAGAAATAAAAGAAAGAATACCGGCCGGAAACAGGGCATACTTCAGTAGTCAGAGAAAATAAACAAAAGTAATTCCATTAATAGTAAAACTAAGAAAACTATCTATAAACTGTAATCAGACCAGTTGTAACATATGCAAGGGAAACTTGGACCTTAACAAAAACAGCAGAAAACCTATTAATCACATGGGAGAGAAAAGTTCTCCAGAAAATATATAGACCAACCTCCTACAAACGAAATGCCTATCTTGCACTCATCCGTCCACTACTAGAACATGGTGCGATCATCTGGGACCCGTACCTAAAGCAAGACGTGGACAAGATGGAGCGAATGCAATGCAACGCAGTGCGCTTCATCACACATGACCACAAATCCACCACTCCTGGCTTCGTCACTGGCCTCTAAGAAAGATTTGACATCCCCTCCCTCAAAGACAGATGAGAAAAGCTCTGCCTAACATTCCTATATAAAGTGGTCATGGGGCTACTGCCGCCCATCCCAGTGAACACATATCTCACCCCACAGAAGCCAGGTCGCTTAATTTAATCGCTTAAAGTTCGCTCAATAAACACTGACTTTGCCTCTAACAACCCCATAAGCAATTACATCCGGAACAATGATAAATGCTTCACTGTGCCTTGTAACACAGTCCAATATAAACAATCATTTTTCCCAAGCACAATCATCGCTTGGAACCACCTGGACAATACCGCCTTAAGCTCGGCATCAATCGAGAGTTTCAAAACTGCCCTAGCATCCGCTGGGAGCCGTTAAAGTACCAGCATAACATCCCCAACCGTTGCACATATGCCAGTACATGGATTCAACAATGTACCCTCGCAGAACCCAAAGGACCAACAAAGGATGAATATGGATGTAGATTACAAACTAAACAGGAAATGCATAGTCTATATCGGGATCCCACACTAGTAGCAGAAATAAAAAAGGGCAGGCTATGCTAGGCGGGACACTTATAAAGAATGTCAAATGATAGAGGAGTGAAGAGGGTGCACCACCAAAACCCTAGAGGAAAACGGCTCAAAGGCAGACCCAGGCTTAGATGGATGGATGATGTGGAAAAAGATCTGCAGCAGCTGGGAATCCAAGCATGGAAAATAAAAAAAGTATCAGTTACATTTGAGTGGAATGAAGTGTTGAGGCAGGCCAAAGCCCTACATGGGCTGTAGCGATACAGGAATGGGTCTGACATTGTATGCAATGCTTTCACGAGTTTGAGCATTCACCACCTATCAACTTTATGGAACTTGACCTATGGGTCAAGTCACCACAACATTGGGCGGCTAACTGCTTCTCTCCCCACTGTTATACCAGGCTTAGATATATAGTGACCTGATTATAAGAGTGATTGATGGCAATAAAGCTCTCAAGTAGATTAATGAACCACAAACAATATGTATAAATAAAACAATGCAGGTCAGGCTTGAATAATGGCTACACAGAATAGAATAAAAGCCTGTTCAGAATTATGAGCTTTGTGTCCGTCAGGGACTTGTGTCCATTCTTATTCTTTTCTTTCATTTTTAGGTAGGATACAAATCTCATGTAAATTTAATCTATATTTATATGAATGGTTTTTAACTTTTTATTTGTTGTACTGTTGAAGGAATTTCATTTAATTTCTATTCTACATATGACATAATATGTGACTGTATTTATATTGAGCGTACAAATGGGTTTTTGCATTAAAAGGTTGAATCCTGTTCACCGGCACATTTGGACGCATTGTAAGTGTAAGCAAATACACCTTTATAGTTTTGTGTTTGTAGAACGTAATTGTTAGATGTTAGTAATGGAAGGTTTTTTTTTTTTTTTTTTTTACAATGAAACATAAACAATAGGTTTTAAAAGGCATGTTCATCCGCAGAAGTTTTTGTACTGGGGAACAAGGATTTTTTTTTTAATTTCCGATTTTTAGATGTTAGTAATGGAAGGTTTTTTTTTTTTTTTTTTGTACAATGAAACATAAACAATAGGTTTTAAGAGGCATGGTCATCCGCAGAAGTTTTTGTACGCGGGAACAAAGATTTTTTTTTTAAAGTTGGAACTTCGTACAATGGCTAACGAGAATGTTTAAGATACTCCTTGAGTTTGAGGGTATCTTTAACAAACTTACGGGTTTGTTGGATACAGTTTACTAATTATTATTTATTTAATTATTAATTCAAGTATACATATTGGCAAAATTTATAAGACAAGAGACATAAGTTGGTTCAGGTTACACTAAAGCTAACACAGTAAACTCACTTCCTTCTAAATTAGTGTGTAAACATCTCATGTTAATGCTATTGATATCCCTCACAGTCTGAACTCGTGAGTGGGCATTTTACAAAATGCTAGAAAAATTCAGGGACAATGGGGGCATTTGCTCCCACTAACTCCCCTCCTGTGAACACCCATGCCAAGCAAGAAGTTTGTACTTCTTTATCCTTATTGACATTATTGTTTTGCACTCATATTTAAAATTAAACTAATTTACTAATTTCAAAAATAAATAAGTATATACATTCATGATTCATATAGTTATATAGGCCCATAAATATAAAGGATTCTACCAAATAGTGTTCTTTAAGTCTTAATGATTCTAAAATCTAATTTAAATTATTATTATTACTATTAGTATTAGTATTATAATTATTATTTGTGCAATATTGTGGGTAATTAATTCATTATTGTTGTTGACCCAATAAATGACAGTTAAATAATTTAAGTAATAATTTATTGAGTGGGCCTATTTTTACAACTATTTTAAAACAGAATTTAGCTAAGTTAAGTCAAGACTAAGTCAGTGATTCCCCTCAGTGAATTTAAATATATATGAATAATAATAAAATAATAATAATAATGTATGCCTAACCATTTAATTTACAGGACAAAACTTTCTTTACCATTTTATAAGTTACTAAGGTATTTGTCTTTCTGGATTTTAACTTGGATTAAACCTTCAAAAGTTGGTAAGAATACTTTTTAAAATCAAAATCAAAGTAGTCGACCAAGTCGACCTTAGTCGAAAGATTCCCCCAAGAATTCTCACTTTGTCGTATTGTAAGTTATAATTTAAGTTCTTTTGTTTAAAATCGGTGAGTTTTGGTGCAAATTCACTTGAAATGTATTTTCCCGAAAACTTACTTTTGATTTTGGTGGCATTTTAAAGTTTAATTTGTTTTTTGGAGACGCTCAATTGCATTCAATCGACGAAGGCTCGTCTCCAGACAAAACAGGAAGTGCCTCTCTGTAACTAATGACAACATGCTATTAAAACGGAGTTATATTTCTTGATCTTAAAAATGATGGCGGTAATTCAATTTCCGGTGAAAACAAAAATTAGCGCAGTTGAGGCACAGTTGAAAGAATTATGGAATTATGAATTATGATGTGTTCCCTTGATTAAAATCTATTTCTCCTGAATAATGGCCAATTCTGGGTGAGTTAACAGATTAAGGCTAGATTATATACAATCTATCAATTTGCACCAGTTCGCCGAAAATTTTGATTATTATGACAAATTTTATGTTCAGTTTAATTTTAATTTACGCATTCCGCGCCACCCAATCAGTCTGTCCAATATCCAATTTTCCCATTATCATCATGTTTTTTTTTTTGTGGTTTTTTTTGCGCAAGCCCCCCCCCTCCCCCACTCTCTGTATGGCAGACGGGTCATGGCAAAAAAATTGGCATCTGTGAAAAAAAAAAAAAAATTGTTTTTTTTTTTGTGTTTTTTTTTGCGCAAGCCCCCCCCCTCCCCCACTCTCTGTATGGCAGACGGGTCATGGCAAAAAAATTGGCTGCTGTGAAAAAAAAAAAAAATGTAGTACTAGAGAGAATAATCATCACGTTTTAAAAAATGGCAAGGGGGATGGGGAGATAATGTTTAAATGTACTTTTTAAAAATTTACATACATAACTTACAGTTAAAAGAAACCAAACTAAGCAAAAGCATGTTACAATTTAATGAAACAATTTTTTGAGAGAAACCCCCAATCCTAATAAATCCAACTAGTACTATCTAAAAGTCAGTATCCCTAACTCAAGCATAAATTCCCTCCTAAATTAAGTCCTCCCAACTTGAGTGTAAATGTACCCCTAAAAAATGCCTAAATGGAGCATAAATCTTCAAGCCTAACTTTTAGGCTAAAATCTAATTCCTGGTGCCTAACGTGAACCCTAAAACCATGTGTTCATGAATGTGCTTAAGTTACACTGTTGTGTGTTGAAAAAAATTGAAAATTTGAATAAAAAATTTAAAATTATATTTTAAATATTCAAAATAATGAAACCCAACTTAAAGTTTCACTGAATACACTTTTATTCACTTATTCACTTTATTGCAGGTCCACCAAAAATAAAATCCAAAAGATGAAAGAAAAATCAATTTTCCAAAATGATTGCAATAGCCTAGTTTTTGAAATTTTATTAAAACCACTGAATGAAATATTAATTTTATAAATCCATCAATTAAAAACATTCCATCGATGTATTGATATTTAAAAAAAGAAAGGCTAACCCTCCACAAATAAACAAAGGGAAAGGAATCCTACACAGTAACTCAAAGTGTCGTGGATTGTGTAAATTAACCACAAATTTAATTAAATAAAAAAGTATCTTTCTTTAAATTAGGCCTTTTAACTCAAACTAATTCACAGTCACATCACTCACAATGTCCACTTGCCAGTGTTTCCTATCTCTTTTGGCTCATGCTCCAACTAATATTATAACGTGATGACTATTAAAGTTTAAATTGAAAGTTTGATAATGCCGAATTCTTCTCCACCCCCAAGAGCTAAAAATATAAAAGGCTGTAAAAGTTTTCCTGTGCTGCAGTCAGCGAGGACTAAGTTTCAGTTTTACTGCCTATTCAAACTCTGACGTCACATAGACTGTTACTGTTGCTCACTAAATAAAAGAGATTTAAAACTTATAGTTGCATCTGTTACAGTCTGTATGAAAGAAGGCCTACATGGGGCCTACTACATGACATGTAATTAATGATTTAATAAGCTAGCCTATTTTTGGTAAATTTTATCCCCTCCTTTGCCCTGTTATAAATCTCAGACCAAAAGTATTTCACACTTTTGAACTAAAAAATTGTTGATTCACTTTTTGTTTAACTAATTAAAAGTCAATATAAAACACAATACACTATAAATAAGTATTGAACTATTTAATTAAAAAAAGTGAGATCTTCTGTCAGAGAAAAAAACCAACACAACAGAAAGAACAACAATTGTCAATTCCAGGTTTTGTAATGATGTTAAAAAAATAAAATGTTTGACATCCAACAAGATTTCTAACAACCACTCCACAACCCCTCNCCCCCCCCCCCCCACTTTTTTCTCCTTATAGACCAGTGTTTCTCAACCTTCCTAATGTCGCGAACCTTTGATACAGTTCCTCATGTTGTGGCGACCTCCAACCCCAAAATTATTTTTGTTGCTACTTCTTAACTGCAGAGTATTTGTGTTTTTAGGTGTTCTTAGGCGACCACTGTGAAACCCTCGTTCGACCCCTAAAGGGGTTGCGACCCACAGGTTGAAATCCGCTGTTAAGGACGGTCTGCAATATATTTTTATTGTAATAAACCAGATGAACAAGAATAAACTGTAAATAAATAACAATAAAACAGGAAAAATAGAAACCAAAAGAAATTTATTATAAAAAGGTCTAAAATAACAACATTGTGACATCAAGCTTGGGCTAGCTGGTAAACCCCCCCCCCCCCCCCCCCCAAAATAAAATTAAAGTAATTGCTATTCCGGAAAACTGTTTTTATTTTAAATGTTTGTTGGTTAATTTAACTTCCAATCATCATGGTTTGTCAAGTCCTATGAATTCTCTATACTACATACATACACTTATCACTTGTTTACAGAGCTAGAACCACATTCCACCAAATAAAAACTAGGTTATGGTAAGCAACCTTTAGCAAAGAAAATTGAGATAATTTAATTATTTTGTAACAGTTTTAAGCTGTTATTTCATATCCAGTCATCTCTTTTCATATCTGAATAAAGTCCACTAGCATTGGCTGTGTTTCCAAACAAGATTTTATGATTTTCACCTTACATATTAGTTTTAGCACTGAAAAAAAACCCCAGAACAGTGACCTTTGATTATGAGAAGTGGCTATGAAAGGAAACTTCAGAAAAAAGTTTTTGTTCTTATTTGCACTACTCTTTTTATATAAATATAAGGATCCAAACATTTATGGTCCAAAACCTCATCTTTTAAAAAAAAAAAATTGGCATGCAGTGAGAGAGTTAAACTATAATCGTATTTCAGGTTATCAGTCTTGAAAACAATAACAGTTTGTTGATTATTTCATAGCAATAACAGGATACATTTTTTCATTTTTTTAAAATTTATAATTTAATGCTTTATCTTGCAACCCTATATATGGGTACTCTTGTGGAGGGTTGATGTGTTATTTTATTCTTTCCTGACTTAGATACTACAATACAGCATTTATAAAGTCTATGAAAAAGTTATCTGACATTGTATCTTTCATCATTTCATCCACCATTGTAAGCAACGTCTGCAATTTGTAATGAACAAGATGTGCAATTAAAAATGTTAAAAATTCTTTAGACTTAAGCCATTCTAAAAGAAGTAAGAATTCTTAGGAATGTATCAGATTGTTGCTGGAGGAAACATGATGACTTTTGTAACCCCTGAGCTCTGCTCAGACACTAATATTGATTGATATGTCAATTTTCATGTTATTCCCCTTTGACGCCAGACCCACTTCTTTTAGCAGCTCTGTCAGAAATAATGAATTCAAGTCCCACGATAGCCAAGAGAAATGCCCTGTAATAGTCAGAAGGCCAACTTTCCTGGACGCTCTCTGAAACTGTGGATTTCTTTCTGCTTACTTAAAACACTTTTTTGGGGTTTCTTCAACATACCCACAATTATCAACCCATGTGGCCACCAGGCAGTGGCATAGCTAGGGTTAGTGCCGGGGCAAGATTTTTGAGAGTCCCTTTCCACAAAAAACTCTGCAGTTGGCCGAAAATATCCACCCCCCCCCCTTTTTTTTCCATATAAAGAAAGAAAGGTGCCGTTCGCGACGGACCACCCCCTCTTCACCCGCCTTCCTAAGCCACTGCCATAAGGTATTCTCTATCTCCATTGATTCTGTTCATCCACGCAGGAGTTTCACGGACTTGTATGAGTTCTGCAAAGGTGTCAGCAATTGTCACACGTGTATGAGTTCTGCAAAGATGTCAGCAATTGTCACACGTGTATGAATTCTGCAAAGATGGCAGCAATTGTCACGCGTGTATGAATTCTGCAAAGATGGCAGCAATTGACACACGTGTATGAATTCTGCAAAGATGGCATCAATTGTCACACATGTATGAATTCTGCTAAGGTGTCAGCAATTGTCACACGTGTATGAATTCTGCAAAGATGGCAGCAATTGTCACACGTGTATGAATTCTGCAAAGATGTCAGCAATTGTCACACGTGTATGAATTCTGCAAAGATGGCAGCAATTGTCACGCTTCCATTCAATTGTTGTATTTCATGGTACAGTCGTGTTGGTAATAAGCAGTTAATTTTGCCCAGCAACAGGCACTCACATTTCTCAGGATACGGTATGAAATTGGACAGCCTGAATGTCATAGATTGTACGATCATTTAACCGCTCACTGGCTTATCTTTTGATAGTTCGAATCAAGATAGATGAATGATAAGTTCACAAAGAACAGCCTGGCGCTTATGTTATGATACGTTTTGACGACGCGTTCATTTTGAGAATGGGTTCATTCATTAAAGGGGGTTAGGAGCGATGCAAAAAGGAACGTCTAGTGCCACAATTAAACGGACAGTTTAAAGTCATCATATGAGACTGTGCGGGGATCATTGTCATTGAACCGTTGGTAACAGCAGAGCAAAGTGGTAGTGTGCGTCATACAAATATCATATGTATAGTCTGTTGTGTTCCAAAGTTTCTTTCATCTTTGCATCACCCATTAGCCTAATGTAGGGCATCACACAGCTCAGTTTTGAGAACCACACATTGACGGGAATGCAGGGTATCTGGGGACACGTTTAGGCTGACCAGGGACAGTTTAGACACGGAATGTGCCATTTGTTGGCTAGAAGCGTGGTGTATCGGGCAAGATCGTCTCATCAGGAATGCGTTAAGACAGAGGTTCCACCGGTGGAATAGCCCTGGTCCCCTACGCTTACTGGCGGGGTTGGGGGGGGGGATTAATGTTGT